GTCTTCTAATCCAAGAGCATGAGATATCTGTCCACTTATTTAGGTCTTTAATTTCCTTCAATGATGTTATGTAGTTTTCAGAGTACAAGTTTTACAGGTCTTTTTAAAGATGTATTCCTCAATGTTTATTCTTTTTTATGCTATTATAAATGGAATTGTTTCCTTGATTTGATTTTCAAATTGTTCACTGCTAGCGTATAAGAAAAGAAATGACTTTCATATTTTGATCTTGTATCCTGCAACTTACTGAATTTTTTTATTAGTTCTAATAGTTTCTGTGTGTATGTGTGTTTATTCCTTATGATTTTCTATATATAAGATCATGTTATCTTGAATAGAGATAGTTTTACTCCTTCTTTTTCATTCTGGATGTATTTTATTTCATTTCCTTACTTAATTGCCCTAGCTAGAATTTCCAGTATAATGTTGAATAGAAGTGGTGAGAACAGACATCTTTATCTTTTCACTGACCACAGGGGCAAAGCATTTAGTGTTTCATCATTAAATATGATGTTAGCTGTGGGTTTTTTATAGATGTCATTTATCAGATTCAGGAAATTCCCTTCTATTCCTAGTTTGTTAATTGTTTTTATCACGAAAAGGTGTTGAATTTTGTTAAATGGTTTTTCTGCATCTGTTGAGGTAATCAGGCAGTTTTTTTCCTTTATTTTATTTTACATTAACTTATTTTTGGATGTATACCAATCTTGTATTCCTAGGATAAATCCCACTTGGTCATGGTGTATAATCCTCTTTATATGCTGCTGGATTCAGCTGGCAGTATTTTGTTGAGGATTTTTTTCATCTATATTCATAAGAGATACTGGTCTGTACAAACTAGTTTTGTTTCATGTAACTGATTTGATGATAACATCAGACAATATTTTTAATAATACCCAACTAAATACAAATATTCAAAGGTGTTTTACTCTTACCTCAATATAATCTGTATCACAGTGGGCAGAATTTCCAATTTCAAAGCTAGTGAAGTTGAGAAGAACTACTTGGCTTTGAGGTTGGTGGATGGTCCACCTGCAGATCTTTTCTCCTGGATACACGTTAGGATAAAAGGGTGAGCGAATGACCCCTTCTCCAGTTAATTCTCCTCCACAAGCTGTAAATATGAAAATGATAGCAGTGTTTGTCCAGAAATAAAGGATTCCTGTCCTCAATTTATTGCAAAGTCTGATTCTGCATAAGGATATAATAGAATGTGACATTACTATTCAAATTATTTTCTTGCCACTGGAGGACATAAAATGACTAAATTATTTCAAGAAATTAAAATGTTACGGGCCGGCTCCGTGGCTTAGCGGTTAAGTGCGCGCGCTCTGATGCTGGCGGCCCGGGTTCGGATCCCGGGCGCGCCCCAAGGCACTACTTCTCCGTCCAACCCGAGGCCGAGTCCCACGTACAGCAACTAGAAGGATGTGAACCTATGACATACAACTATCTACTGGGGCTTTGGGGGGAAAAAAATGAATAAATAAAATCTTTAAAATGTTACAATCAGGCAAATTAGACATTTAAAAATTAAGGTCAAGTTTTCTTACCAACTTGATAAAGAGCTCTGAAACCAACTCTTACAACAGAAGCATCTATTTTAAGCCTGATCCAGATACTATTAGTAATGGATTTAATGTGAGACAAGGTTTCATTGCCACAGACTTTTCCAAGTAATGTTTCATCATCTCGAACCTAAACAGAAAAATAAAATAGATCTGTAATCCTAACCAGCAAAACTGCCTCGGCAATGGTAGCATTATTTGGAGATGGGGAAATGGCAGATTCAAAATGAGTTATAATCTAATTTGGGTTACATATTTACATTATATTTGAAAGTAGTCAGTGGGTAATTTTTTAGCACAATGCAATAACACTAAATGATAACACTAAATAAATAAATACTGACAAAATCTTTAGCCAAAAAAAATCCAAAAGCATAAGAATTTTTAAAATTTTCTCCTAATAATTTCCACAATGTCAGAGGAAATAAATTTATGATTTTAGACTATTTAGAAAACAACAAAATATGAGAACACAACATATCAAAATATGCAAGTTTCTGCCAAATCTGTAATCAAAGGAAGTCATAAACTAAACTGCTTTTATTATTTAAAAAAAGACAGAAAAGTAGATGAAAGAAAGAGAGAAAATCTAAGGAGTCAACTTAGAAAATTGGAAAAAAGTATTAAAATGAGGAATAATAAAGTAAAAATAAAAGCAAACAATGAATAAAATACAAAAGAAAGTAGAATTCATGAACACATTCAAGAACTATTTTTTGAGGGAATATGGGGGACGAGGATATAAAAGACACAACTTGGGCAATAAAGATAACAGAAAATATAAAGAAAAAAGAAAATAAGCACAAATACACAAAATTAAAAACGACAAAGGTGAAACAAATACACAGATACTGAGGAATTTGTTTAATATGATAATCCTATGTACAACTCTATGCTAATATAGTTGAATGTTTGAAATGGTTATTTCCAGAAAAAATATAAATTACTGAAACTATTTGAAGGAGAAGAAAAATAAAATCTGAATAGACAATAAGCCATGGATAAAATTGAAAACATTATCAATCACTTCCCCCCCAAAAAACTCCCAGAAGATGCTCTACCTGGTAAGTTATTTTAAACTTTTAAGGAACAGATAATTCTCATATAGAATTTGTTCTAAGGCACCCTCAAACATGGAACAATTCCCAACTAATTTTTCTCAGAACCATTTTACCAAATCCCAACATAGGTAATACAAATGAAAACTATAAATTAATCTCATCTATTAATATAGATACAAAAATCCCAAACACAGTTCTAGAAAAAGGAATTCTCTCCCATGTCAGGCTTATATACCAAATCAAATATGAGAATAAAAGTAATGTAAGAATTGTTTGAAATTAAAATTTATCAATTAAGCTCATCAATAAATCCAATAAGGTAAACCATATACTTCCATAGATGTCAAAAATTTTGTTAGCATTCCTATTTATTAGAAACAAAACTCTTAGAAAGTTAGGAGCAAAAGAAAATTTCCTTCATATAATAAAGACCACCTATTTTAAGTCAGTAGTCAATATCTTACAGTGTAGCTAGTGGCCATGAGCACGGTCTATGGAGTCATATAGAACTGGGTTCAATTCCCACCTCTGTCACTTACAAACCTCCTCCCTTAACAACCTTGAACAAGTTACTAAGTCTAAGCCTACCTCAAGGGGTTGTGGAAGCAAATAGATAAAACAATAGTGTGAAGTCCTTAGCAAAATGCCTAGTAATAGAAAATGGGGGCTAAAGAATAGCTATTGTTATTCTTAACATTTTTTAAAGGTGAAACACTAGAGGTTTCTTACCAAAATCAGGAATTATTCCATGAATATATATACATACTACCCCTGTTATATAGAATTATCTTGGAAGATCTAGCCATCCAAATATTAATTCCTTCCCTCAAGTAACATTATCAAGGCACCAATAAATGCCAGGGCCTGTGCTGGTGATAACACTGTGTAAGACAGTCTGCTCACAAGGAACTTACAACAAGCAAGCACGTTTCTTTAAAAGCATGAGTGTCATGTTTGGGAAGCTGCAGGATGCTGTATTATTACTTAAGAAAACGATTCTCAATAGGTACCACAATTAGGCATTTTGGAAATCTGTGAAGGCACTTTTTGTTTTTATTTTAATTATTAACCCAATCGTGGTGGGGCACTCTCGGCATTTAGTGGCTGGAGACCAAAGATACTAAACACCCTGAAATGTGAGAGACAGTCACCCGCAACAAGAATTCTCCTACGTCCTGTGTGGCCTTCATAAAAGTGACAGTTCTGTGACTAAATGTAAAATCTAGCTCTATTCTGCATACTAAACACAAAACAATTTTGCCCAATTTTAATACCCACTGGATTTTCCAGAATTACAAACAGAGTGTAAATAGAAAGGAGTTCTTTTTTTCTTTTTTGCCTGGAAATCTGCCAAGAGTTGGTCACCATTTCAGAAAATTTGTCACCAACCCACACAACCATGTCAGCCTGTGTTTGTGCTGTGGCATTCAGAGTGATTCAGGGAGCAAATAACTTACTACTTCATTCTGTCTTCAAGTACAGCTTGCCCAGGCTTTTAACATCCTGAAATAAATATATATATTTTTTTTTCTTTACTTTATTTCTCCTAAATCTTATACTTACAACTTTATATTTTTTTACATAATGTGTGGTGAGGTTATATCATGTATGAGTTTCACTTCAGGATACTCAAAGGGTGATACAAAAGGTCTTAAAGTGTAGAGAAACTTTGAGTTAACCAAAAAGTCCAAACTCTTACAGGGGATTATGGAATATTTCTCAACGGAAATAAACTTCAAGCTGAATTTGAAAGATTATCCAGGCCAAAGGGAATGGGCTATAAAAAGGAAAATTTTATAAGTATGATACTCAAAGCTAGTGGGGATATGGTAACACAGTTACTTCCATCCGTATCTGGCAGATGTATAAATTTCTGGAAAATAATTTGACAATATCTATCAGGAGTCTTAAATATGTTCATAGTTTTGGACCCAGTAACTCCACTTTGAACGTTGTAACACAAGGAAATCATCTGAGAGACAGGCAAAGACACACAAGGATCCATATCGAAGTATGTTCTATAATAGCAAGAACTGAATATATTCCAAATGTCTAAAAATAGGAGGGTGACTAAACTATGGTACAGCCATATGACAGAGTCTTACACACACATTAAAAATCACATGCCTCTCCCCTGATTCATACCCAACCAGTTCTTTTCCATGAGCCGTTAACACAAATTTCACACACCGTCGTAAAGTTATGCTAACCAAACAGCAAATTTCTCAGGGAAGAGAAAATTTCTGTATCATCTTCAGCATCTAACACAGAACTTTGCCAACATGCATTTGAAAAATGCTTGTTGATTTGTTACTTTTAAGGCATGGTATGACGGTTCCATTTTTATTAGAAATGCAGACATATACTACAATTCTTGGAAACCATAAAGAATGAAACACGGAGTAAAATATCTTCCTGCTCTCTAATTCTCCAGGGTTCCATTCTCTTCTGCTAAGATTGGAGTCTCTTTTTTCTATTTTGCCCATTAGAAGATGACAAGAAGAAAGAAAAATAGCATCAGAGCAAGCTAACTGGGCCGTTCCCCTGGGCCTCACTAACAAAATTCAAGGACCTGAGCAAGGAGAAAGGCAGCTGCAATCCAAATGTTTTAAAAGGAACTTATAGGGCTCAAGGGCCCTAACCCGAGAAGTACAATTGATTTTGGCTGCGTTTCTCTCTCTGTGGAAATGAAACCTTAATAATTCTGAAAGCCTATATTCTCCCTGATCTCAGACATGGCGATACCTTAACCACAACGTATTTGAAAGAGATATTCAACTAGAATTCATCAAATGCTCTAAAGTGACCCCAAATACTGTTGCAGCACATCCTGCATTCAATATTCTAGGACTTGTGAATTCGCACCCTTCTCCCGCCACCGCAAGAAAAATCTCCTTCCTTTGTGCTTGTGCACTGAGATAGACTGTATTATTTTTCCTAATTATTCACATCCCTCCTTGTAAGAGGACTGAACATCTCTGCTCATTGCCATGTGACTTGTGATGCCTCCCCATGCAGAATTAATACTAATCCCTCCCATTGACTGTGGGCTTGGCCATAGGTCTTGCTTTGCCCAGCAGAATCTGAGCAGAAGTGAGGTACCAATTTCCAAGTAGAAGCTTTGGGAGTCACTGCATGATTCAACCATCTTTTACTTTCCCCCCTCCCAAGACCAAGAGCCTGGGTCCCAGAGACAGATGGGACAGGGAACAGATCAGCAGAGCTGCCACTGACCCAAAACCAACATGTTAACATGAGCAAAGCATAAATGTACTTGTTGTAAGCCACAAAAATTTTTTGTTACTGGTTTTGATTTGTTTTATTGTTGTTGCAGCATAACCTAGAGAAAGATGACTTGTATTTGAACCTGGTTTGTATTAACAAAGAGTTTTTCTTAAAAAGTCAGGTGAAGCCATGCCGTGGTCACTTGCGGAGGTGTCACATCAAATTCATTCTTTATAGAGGATCACATTTGCAAAGAAATGACAACTAATTTAAAATTCTAGTATTCTGAGGACCAGGCCCAGAGTTTTCATCACTTGCCTTATTCATCCAACAAACATTGATTGTTTCAGGCCCAGAGACCCAATACATAACTTGTGACCCACAATTTTTGGCCAATGGAATAGCACAAATGGCTTCTGATTTTTACATTCATCAGATTGAACTAGTTCCTGAAGAGAAACTAGTCACAAAAAACAAAAAATAAAAGAACAGAGTTCTTATAAAGAAACTATTTCCTGTAGAAAGAGCTAAAATTAACTGGGCTGAAAAACACAGTTTATATGAAATTTTAAGTGTGAGATCTAGAGCCCAGTCAGTAGTAAGCTTTAACATCTGGAACGGATCAAGTCCTAAAGCCACATCTTAATGCGTGTGCTCACTTGTTTGTATCTGCTATGTATCCAGATTTGTTTTTATATAACAATTTCAAAACTCTATTTTAAGTATTAAATTTTTTTTTAATAATTTTATTTTTTTTTTCCGCCCAAAGCCCCAGTAGATAGTTGTATGTCATAGCTGCACATCCTTCTAGTTGCTGTATGTGGGACGCCACCTCAGCATGGCC